CTCCCCTCTGACCTGCCATCAGCACAGCTTTTTCTATTTCAAATGATTTATATTGCTTTTGGGGACACTCCTTGACTTTTATATATAGGAGTTCAGCAGTGCCATGAGTGAATTGTTATCTTCTTCTCCACAAATGAAAATAAATACCTGCAAATCTTGGCTTACAAAGCTTGGCTTCCATTAAAATGTAATTACCTCCCTTTTGTACGTTATACATTAAGAGTGGCTTCAAATGGATGTGGTTCCTGTTCAACATAATTACTTTCCTTTGCTGCTTGCATAGTAAGAATGAGGCTCCAGAATAAAGATGACTATTTAAAGAGGGCTGCTGCCATTCCAAATTGCATAGTGATAAGTTCTGTTTATCAAATTGAGTTGTTTACTCAGTAAGTTCCTCATTGGAATTTTTGTTACGAGTCATCATGGACTCACAGAAGTGTATCCAGTTCTAATTCATGACCACACACCTTTTAATCCTGTGAAGAAGGTGTGGCATATAACTATTCATAGCATTATTCTAGTGATGAATGATTAGATAATCCGGTGTGTGCACATCGAGTCAGTTCACTCTTGGAGGGATAATTGTACAACGCTATGTGGGTGTTTCTATCTTGCTGGAAGTGCTCTGGGTTCCACGGGGGAGTGGGATGGCTGTGCAGTGCTTGGTTGCTGCTCTCTGCAGGGTATTCTGAATTTGCTCTTTGCATGTGCTCTGGTTCAGGATCCTGGCTTCCATCTGAGCAAGAGCACCATGAGGCAGCCTCTTACTGTGAGATAAGAGGGAAGGAAGGAGGAAAGTGTATGTTGTAAAACAGACACAAAAATTGAAGACTGTTTTGTCATCCTCATTAATATACTGGAGCATATGCAGCTTGCTCTTCTGGTACTTTTGTTTTGCTGCAAGGATGCACAGGGATGGTAAAGCTAAGTATTTTCTTGAGGTGAAAGAAGCCCAGTCCAGAGTGAAAAAGGCATAGCTCCTGCCGCTGCTTTCCTCAGTGTGGCTATGTGCTGAGCCACACCAGAGGTGGAAGGACATTTTGGCTGGGACAATAACATACAGTGCGCTTGGAGCAGTAGGCAAACAGCTACGGTTGACTGTTCCCTCCACTGCACAGCCTGCTTGCAGTGCTGAGAAACAGCAGGTGATAGCACCTACTTCCACCTCAGTGCTGACCCGGCTGTTGGTATCTGTAGGAGAAATAAGGCTATTGTAGGAGAAATAAACCTTTGATAAGCCATTTGATGTACTTAAATTAATGTGTTTAACTGTAAATATCAAGCATATTTACATACCTTTCATAAAGTTTTATATTGAGATGTTCTAGTTTGTAGCACGCAAGCCAGATGTGGCCTGGAGGATAATTCTATTGCAGTTAGGCACTTAGACCTGCTGAGCCGGTCCTTGAACTGGCTGAAGTCTGCTCTCCTGAAATCCAGAGTTCTCATCTTGCTTTTGACTTTGCTACTTCCTCTCTGAATCCTGAATACCACTATAGGTAGCTCATAAAGATAGCCCCAACTGGTGTCTGGCTTGTCACTGAAAAGACTGGACCACCTAGCTTTAAAGCAAATGCTGCAGTGAGTAGATTCAGATTAAATTTCTGTGTTGGCTGGTGTGAATCTGGATTTCATCTAGTCAGGTCATCTCAAGTGGCTCTTGACATTATTGGTAGCACTTGTCTGCAGCAAATACATTCCCTGTAGCCAGTGCACAACTGATGCACAGATCTGCAGGTCTGTCTTTGCAAATGTTGCATTAATCAGGTAGGCGAGCTGAAGGGGGTTGCTGTTGACCCACAGTGCTTGCAGACAGCAGTGTTCTGCTCAGGGCAGTCCCTGTTCACTGTGTTGCTTTTCTTGCTTCCCTTTGTCTCAGTGGTGAATGTCATTGGGATCAAGGTGCTTTGCAGCCTCAGTGAGAAGTGGAGAGCAGCATTGTGGCTTCCCCATCATAAAGGCAGTTTCAGTGGGCACTGTTTGATGGATTACTGTAATTTCTGATGGCAAGCTGGGACCACATTAAAAGACCTGGTAGTAAATGGCTGAACTGAAGGTCTTGCATTCAGTCTGCAACTTTATAATTTGTTAACTATAGATGTGTTGTAGTCTGTAGCCTTACCATAGTCAAACCAGGTGGGGGATAGCTGTGAAGAGTTGTGCATGAGGGTATGAACAGCAACATTTTCATGGGTCAGTACCTGGGTATCGGTGTCTGTGGTAGGATTTTTAAAATGGCCTAAGGACTGGGAAATATTTGAGCAGTTTTGGTTGTTGTTTTTGTTTGTTTGTTTGTTTGTTTGTTTTCCTATTGCCACATCTCGGGGGTGCATGTCATTTCATGGACCAAATGTGTTTTGCATCAATACAGTTTACCTGTCTGAAAGATTAAGCTGTGGTGGTGAGAGTAACTCCTTTAATGTGAGAGGAGTTACATCCCACACATGAGGGTTTTAGTCTGCTGAGGCATAAAGTAGAATTGCTTTGTTTTTGTAGGTAGATGGGTTTGGCAGTTTGGGGTATATGCAGATTATCACAAGGTAGACAACAGGGAGGATTGAGCTTTTGCTAACCAGGAGCAGATATAGACTCACAGGGGCCAAGTGCAAATGAATAAACAGTAGGTTGTCTGGTACCTCAAGTCAAGTGAGGGTGGGGACCTGATGTGATCACACAACACCAGACCAAAACCTTCTCCTGGTAGTGGCTTCACTCCTACTGTGAACTGCACATGTTCTTCAGTAGAATTCTGTTAGTGGTTTGCCCACTTTCATAGTTCTCCTTTGCTTTTGGGAAATTTAGTTGAAGTCTGCAGAGTGCCTTTCTGCTTGTGCTGGGTCTAAATAGTTTTTACGGATTCCAGTGCTGATTTGATTGATAAACTACAGCTGTTTCTTTCAGAGAAAGTGGTGTTGGGGGGGAGAGAGAGTGTGTGAGAGAGCACAATCAATACAGAATCCAGGAAGGTCAGTGATACAGAGGAAGAATTAGAGGAAGAGGGGGACGTGGGTAAAAGAAGACAGGAGGAGACAGAAGATTTGAGGGGGAAAAAAGCTTTAGCTGAAAGCAGATTTGCTATTAACTTAATGAAAAATGATATTTTGGAATGACAGTCTGTAAAATAGTGACAGATTCTGTTAATGGCTCTGGACCGCAGGCATTCATACACACATGCATGCACACACAAACACAGATAGACATACAAGGTGGAGAAATAAAAGTACAATAATAATGATAATAATGTTCAAATTTTCAGACTAAACCAAATTACTTTTGTTTTAAATTATTATCCCTTTAAATGTTAAGCAAAGTTTTTAAGGGAAGAAGATTTTAGAGCAGATTATGTAACTAAATATGAAATAAGTATTTTATTTTGCTTTGACTAAAGGATTACTGGAAAATACTTTTGACTTGTTGAAAAACATGAAGAAAAAAATGTTGGTTTGAAACACTAACAAACAGGAAAAACAGCCATCAGAGAAATATGTCTCCTTCTCTGGAGACATTCAAGACCCGCCTGGACGCCTTCCTGTGTAAAATTGTTTAGGTTCCTGCTCCGGCAGGGGGATTGGACTGGATGATCTTTCGAGGTCCCTTCCAATCCCCAACATTCTGTGATTCTGTGATTCTGTGATTCTGTGATTCTGTGATATGATAACCTAAGTCTGCCTTCTGCTGGAGGTAGCTTGGTCCTCTCCATATCTGAAAGCTGTCTGTGTAGCTTCCTTTGCTTTAATGCAAGTAAACTAGTTTTACCAGAGCTTATGATTCCTTGGCTGTCTGTTACGCAAACTGGTCAGAGAGGAAAGAATTGTATTCACAAAAGAGTACCACCTTAAGGGCCGAGTGCTTGTCTTCTCATTATGGTGATTTTTGTTATTTAACTGGAGATGGTTTTTGTTTGGTTTTGGTTTTTTTGTTTGTTTGTTTGGGTTTTTTTGAGGGGGAGAGGGCGTTTTTTGAGAAGGAAGAAACAAAGGCAGAAAGGAGAGGAAGAAAGTAGAAAAGGTAAACATGGATCTACTTGCTTGTTTTGGTTCCAGGAAAGATGCTTCACAGAAACTCAGTTTCCATTTCTCTGTAGTACCTGTTGTGCTGTGTTTTGTAGTGGTATCCATATGGACTTATTCATGTTCCCAGTGAGAACTGTTATTTCCCCCATTACAAGGTGACATGTGATACAAGAGTACCTAATCCCCTTAATTCATATTCAGTTTTTAGGCCTCTCTGTGGATTTCCTCTACCAGCAGAACACCACAGTACCCTATAGGACAGTGAAAGTTACCGCAGATGGTAGCATAATGTATAGACTTTCACTTGTGCCTCCACATCATTCCCATATTTACCCCAAATTAATCAGAGAAGCAGACATTCCCTAGTCCCTTCACTGTCCTGTCAGTACCAGCTGTCTGGACAGTCCGTGCTCTAATGACTCCAGGCTAAACTTCAGTTGCCTCTCAAGTGAACATAGGTGTTTGTCTCAGACAAAGGCGAGAGGGTTGGCAATGGAGAAGCTAAAGAAACAAGTGAGCTTTCTCACCACACTCTGGAGTTGCTCTCATATTCAGAGAAAGCCAAAGACTAACAATGAAAGAGAAAGGAAGCAAGGGAGGGGTATGTGTGTGGGTAGTGTGTGCAAGGCTTTCTTCCAGCTCTCCACTGAGCCATGACCCGGTTTCTCCAGGAGCTGCCTGCTGTTTTCTTATTTTCGAAGCAAGTTCCTGAGACAATGTTTTGCATGCCAAACAGGGTCAGCTGCTCAGATAGGAAGGGTTCTGAACTGGACATGCACCCCCAATTCCATCTTCTCTAGCACCTAAACGGCTCCATTTTTTTTTCTTCTTTTCCTCCTATTTTCCCTTTTCTTGTTCATAATGAAGAAAGAAAATTAGTTCTTAATGTGCACAGAGAAAACAAGGGGAACTTTCAGGTGTATTGAATGAAATTTATTGTAGTGACTGTTAGACACTAATTTTTTATGGTTATTGTTATCTTGACAGAATCCAAGAAGAAGAAAAAGGAAGGCAAGAAACAAGAGAAGATGCTGGATTAATGGAGCCAACTTGGGCAATGTGAGAAAGGGACATCAGCAAACATGATCAGTTAACAATTTCATTTATACCTAGGCATTTTATCCTGAAATTATTTATAGCTTAATGGTACCATAGAAGGAAATAAGCAAATACAGAAAAAAAAAACCCTTCTTTTTTATTATTTTAGTGTTTTTAATGTATAACCCTAACAACAATTTTTAGAGGCCTGTAATAAAGGACTCCAAACTCATTTAGAAAATTATGTCTATTGTATATTGAACAATGTAGAGGTTTTTAAAATATTTTTTTCTCAAGTCTTGCCATAAGTCTCAATCTGGTAGTTACTCCATGCAAGCAGAACCTGAACCTGTATGGAGCTCTGCTGAAGCCAGTGGTGCCCTGTGTGAACATAGGAGTCTGGCTAGATGCAATTATATCTAAAATTGGGACTCTGTATCTGAAAAAACCCAGACTTCTGTTTCTTAAATTCTTATTACATCTGGATAACTATGAAATTTTTGTTTAAGGAAAGGATAGGGGCATTTTGTTGAGTATTTACAGGCATAGAATTTTTTCGGATCTGTGGTAAAAGTTCCAAGATGCCACCATCTCCAGGTAAAAACCCGTATCACTCCTATCCTTAGCCATATTTTGAAAGTTGGCAGTAAAACTTCTGAAATCTTTCAACAGTTGGATATAAAAGAGTCCTAATTTTTCATTATTTTCTAGCAATGATTTTTCCAAGTGGAATGATAGCAGAACTTCCAATTTTTTAGCATATCAATGCTGGTTGATGGTAGTGTCCTCTGTTTTACTGACAAAAGCTGAAAAATGCTTCCTTTTATTTGTTTATTTTGCCAGAAGGGAGAATATCCTTTTCACAAAAATCTATTTTAAATTGTTGTGATTCTGCCTGACCCAACTCCCTTGTGTATCAGTGGGAATCTTCCTGTTGATTTTATTGTTAACTGGTTGAAAAATACTATGTCTGATGGGAAGTAACAGAAGAAATGTGTTTCGAAACTGCTTGAGATAGTTCATGTTTTTTACTAAAAAAGGGACAATTTATGAGACTTGAAACCAATAGGAATGAAATTAATTTCTGTTTCTTTGTTAGTAAAGCAAAAGAGAAATATAAAACAAGTACCTTTTGCTTTCTTCCCTTTTTATATAAGCAAAGAGACTTTGCAAGAGCTCAATCAAAATAAAAGTAGTTCTGTGATTTAATTTTTCTTTTAAATGGTCTGCAGGGGAAAAAAAAAAAAAACCAAAAAATTATAACCAGTTGGTTTTCCGTTTGTTCAATTTTATCTATTTTAAATTATAATAAGTCCTGAGAAAAGTTACAAAGTAGAAAAAAGATCTGACAAAGGGCTGGTCTGTGCCCCCATAAAGGGTTGTTTAACAAACTAAACAACCAGTAGAGCACACTTTTTAGAGGAAACAGAAGGGACTTAAGTGCCCAAATTTATTTCAAAATAATTGTTTTTAACTTCTAAATCTTAAAATTCAACAGCAAGAAATAAGCTTTACCATTTGTATAGGCTGCAGACTTGCCTGCTGATCAGGAGGAATAATCTCCCTTGTACTCCTGCAGATACCCACTGACTTTAGTGAAGCTACAGCAGGGTGTGTTCATCTGAGTAAATCACAGTGCTCTTTTGGGATTAGCTCGTAGACAATTTTTCAGACTAATTTATCACTCCCATTTTCTATGAAAAAAAAAAAAAAAGAAGAAAAAAGCAACATTTGCCCTCTTTTTTCTCACATGGAGGGTATGGCTAATCTGAACTCACAGTGAGACAAGTCCTACTTTAGACATTCCCAAACCCTTTTAAAGCCAGTTAGCCAAGGCTGCACATAGCTCAAGATAGATTAGCCACACAAGTATTTCCCAGACTCCTTGGGTGTGTTCTGCAGTCTGTATTGATGTCCTTGTTATTTTGACTACACTGTTACACATACCTGAGCTGGTGTTATAGCTAAAATGTCCCCAGCGTGGTGGACGTGCAATGACCAAATCTGAAATATATCATAAAGGCTCATATTTGGGTGGTTCTGGGTGCTACTTGGTTTGTTCATGGTCTAATCAGGTCTACCAGTGCTCGTGCTTCGGCTTAAACTAATGGATTGGTGGTAGGTCTGATTGAAAGCAAAGCAAGAAAGAAGCTTTTTCACTCACCAAAGGTTTCTCTGTCTAAATGCTGCATCAGTTCACTTAAAGTGGTTCAGCTTTGAGTGCAAACACTGTTGCACCATTGTCATACACTGGTTAATCTAGTCCACATTTCATAGGTTGCTGGCAGGAGTTGGGAATGATGCTGAGACCAGCCAACAGTTTGACTATCCTTTTGCAAACCTTAGATGTGACTTCTGATTTCCACCTCTGTGAGCAAGAAAAAAAAAAAAAATTCCCCTATGTTTCCTCTGACACCTTATGGTCCTTATGATTAACCGCCCATCTGGCTTGTTAAAGAAACATTCCTAATAGTTTTTGAAGGAGGCCAGTCAAGTTCCCATTGTTGTGATGCTGGTGTAGGGCCTCCAAGGAGCGAGTTTACAGAAAACAAAGAAAACAAAAAAATACCATGTTAGGACCAGAAGAAAGCGCAGCAGTCCTGGTAGCAAAAGGTAGAACACTTCCTCTGTGCTACTCAGCAACATATGTTTGGATCTATATTGGCATCTTATTGTTGACATTAACTGGAGTTGTATCTGTTGTAGTTTATAAACTGATTAAAATTGCCAAGAAACCAGTAGGAAACATTCTGGGGGAACTCTGGCTATGAAGACGATAAAAGTAATTCACGGCAGAACACAGAGGAAGGTTGAATAGAATAGATCAGTCAGGCCAGCTCTGAAAGGAGGTACCTGGTACGTAACACGAGCAGTCTCTTGCCACCCCATCTTGCTCAGTTTCCACTTGAGTCGTTCTGAAATTACTCCTTACTTGCTTTCTAATCTACCCTCCATCCTTTGGGAGGGCAAGCTTGTCTGACAGTGCTGCGGGGGCGGCTACTTCAGATGAAAGATATATTTTGCTCTCTTGGTGCTATCCTGTTACAATGGAAAATGACTTAGCTAGTTTGACCATCTGAAGCTTGTTTCATGGATGTCCCTTTCGAGAAGTGGTTTCCATCTTCATTTGCTACAGCTATAATATGATATAGGGAGATGATAGAAATCCTGCACCTGACAGCCTTTTTCTGAGCACTCAAATCTCTTAAAAAGAGAGGGGTGAGTTGCTGAACATCATCTAAAGATGCATCTGCATCCAGATTCTGCATTCTAACAAGTTTAAACTTCAGGGAATTTGGGTACAGCTCCCTTCCCTTCCTCTAAGTAGGCTGAGCCACGCTTCTAAGCAATTAGGCATGTCTATATGTTGTTTCAAAACAATATTTGAGAATTGAGGCTTTTTCTGACTTTGACATGTCTTCTGACAGAAGTGCCCATATTGAAAGAGAATCATTGTTTGTCAGCCTGGTGTGTTTAACCGACTATTAAGTGCAGCAGAACTATAGGGCAAGGCTCCAGGAAGGGAAAACATTTGTTGTATGTGCAAGTAGATACTAAGTTGTAACTTACTGATTCTCATCTTCTGATTCCATAATGGCATTCTGGACTATACTTTTTGTCAAAGGAAAAAAATTAGGAGAAATGAAAGAATAATAATAATAAAACATGTCTACAGACAGTGTTGGAGACTTTGTAAAGAAGAGACAGATATGAAGTCAGGAGCATTTTATACAAACTTCTTTTGCATGCTTCTCAAGTAGGGAAGGCAGGATTACTAGCTGGCACGTTTGTTTTTATGCTTTGCTTGATTTGTGCCTTAATGAAAACTAATGAAATGTAGAATGTTAGTAAAAATACAGAGAAGTAAAGTCCCACTCCAACCTCAAAAGAATGTGTCCAACAGGAGGCAATGTCAAAAGGAGACATGAGTATGTCTTTTCTGGTTTAGGAGTGCAACTTATGATGATGTTGATAGGAGAAAACTTAGCGTATTTCTTTAACTTTGGTGTATATGCTTCACCACTTGGCATGTGGCAAAGGACAATTCAAGTGAAACAATGAAGCATTAAGATGAACTAAGGAGCAGTGAATACTATGGACACTGTTTATCGAAACAGGCCTATAAACTGCGTGAAACTAACCACACTGCTAGCAGGGAGTGTTTCAAGATAAACATTGTATAGCATTCCCATTTGTTTAATGGAATCTCTTAACATATGATGAACTTTATCTGAGTTTCCTTAGTCTAATGTCAGTTATGAGGGTGGGACAAAAGCCAACCTGGCTTTCCCTCAGTCTAGGAACTGCAACATCATTAACAATGTAAACCTGCCAATTTTCTAAGGCAAAGGGTCACCACTTTGACATCACACAATAATCTTTCACATCTCCCAGATTCTTACAAGAAGGGGAAGCAGTATGTCAGTGGGGATAGGTATCATATTCAAACTTTTTAAACTCTCTAGGACAACATCGTCTGTGAACTTCTGCGTTCCCTCCTTTGCAGGGACAGATTTTACCTGTTGTCTACCTTCCCCCACTCATCCCTAATTTTGATAGTATTTGTAGGTTTTCTGTCAATTCTGCTAGGGCACTCTACCTCTCAGCTAAACTTCTGCAGATATTATTTATCCTTCCTCATGCTTGAGGCTGTATTCTCCATTCCTTGCTGGATTGTTGCAAAACAGCCCCAGCAAGCCCCTACCATCAGGTACCTCATTGTGTCCTTCTAAGATTAAAAGACACAGGAGCAACTTGTTAATCAAAAGCCAGCAATGAACAAGGAAATACAAGCATGAGCAAAGAGATTCATTAGGAGGGTGGCTTGCTGGTAAAGCCTTTGTCATAGCTCAACTTGAGTGAGACTTCCTAGGGGACAGAAATGCATCACATTTGATCAAAAATTAGAGACAATGATGAAAAAGTGTCTGCCCTCAAACAGTGAAACACTTTAGCTAGATAAACAGTGGCAAGAAGCTGTACCCTTTCCCTCTTTTACCATCAAATTAAAGGGAAGAGACATGGTGCTTAGAACTTTAGGGACAATGGAAGACTTGCCTAAGCAGAGTAGAGCATGGAGACAGCCTCTTCGACCCCATAGATGTTTGCATTTGGAGAAAGTCTAGGTAGTCTTGT